AAGCATCCGTGCCTAATTCTAGCCCGCCGGCCTGCATTCCCCGACCCGGCGTGTCCGGGCTGCTGGCCACAGCCCGCCGCGCACAGGCCCCCGAGGGCCTCGGACCGCTCCCGGCCCGCACAGTTAAAAACAATATGCTTGGGAATTTTTTATTGCCCTTCAGGTTTTCGTGGCATTGGGGCATCACATGTTCAAGGTTCTCTCTGCACCACTGAGGGCTAGGAATAGAATAGAAGGGAGAGCCAATATTCGCAGAGTTGTGACTCCAGGATCTGGCGATTTAAATAAAAACATTCAGTATTTGCAAGGCTTGTGATAAGATCATTGGCACTGGCACCACTGCACAGCAGGGGCCCGAGCAGCACCACTCCTTCACTGGTCAGCATGATTGCTGGAGGGAAAGAAAGAGTTGATGCCTCCTTCAGGTCCTGCCTGTTTTTATTGTTGCAATGGTCCTGGCCCAGGCCTCCAGGAGCGAGGTCCTGAGCAGGGTCCTACTTCCTGCAGCAGAGCATTGCACTGCCATGAGGCACAGATCCATAGGAAATCTAGGGAGGAAGAGAGGCAAGCGTTTACATCCAGGGAGCCCGGACACTTTGGACTGGGCTGCCGTCCTACAAAGTGGTGACTCAGGCTGCTGTGATCAGCTGTATCCTGCTGCACCAGCGCTGTTGAGCTCATTTGTTTGCCTGGCAGCAGTAGGAAGTCGCAGGGTGTCGGATCGCCTCAGCATTGCGTCACACACCACCGGCTGCAGCAGGGTTGTGTCATATCATCTGGGAGTATTCCTCTTCATTTCCAGGAGGCGCCCTATCGCATTGCAACCCCTCCCTTGGGAGAGGAGGGGTGAAACAGGCACCTGAGAGCAGCGCAGAAGACAGGATGGCATTGCAGCCAGCACCCATGGTGTTGGTTTCATGCCCTGTATGCTGGTGAATAACATAGGACATAGGGACCTCCCAGGTCACTGAACCCAGTGCTTCCTACTGAAGGCAGCCTCATGCGATAACCTCACCAAGCTCTGCTGTAATGCTGTTAGGGCTTTTTCCTCCCTTCTCCCCATGTTTCTAAATCCAAGCTGGCTAGTTAAAAAAAACCTACTAAGATGCTGCAGTTGCCACTCATGTTCCGGGCACACGCAAATGGACCAATTTCCCTAGACTTCTTTCTCCAGGCGCAGGTTGCTACCCATTTTGGAGGGCGCCACATAGGAGGCACCTATTGGGGTGTCTCTGCTCTGCACACTAGCCCCTTGAGCTAGCATGGTCTCTCATCCAGCCATGTGAGAGAACCTTTCATTTCCATCCGTATGGATGGCTGGTCATGGGGGGAACGCGGGCATTAGGGAACAGCATCATTCAAGGGTGAATCTTCACTACACACGTCATCAGGGCTCTTGAGTTTTAGCTGCAAGCCCCTCTGCAGTCCAAAAAGAGCCCGACCCAGTGATGCTTTGAGCCCTGGCTAAGATTACACAGGTGGGGACGGGATATGCTTCAGAGCCTGGTGCTGCTTCTGGTTGACCTGAACGTGGTCTGCTTTGCAGTATGGACAGAAGCAAATTTTATATATATCACTGATATTCTCCGTTTTTTCCTACACTGCCCACCAAAGAACAGCTGATTTCTCCCACAAATGCCTGGGGGAAAAAAAAAGAGTCCTCGAATGTGTCTCAGCACAAGAAACAATGGCATAAGCTTCCAGACACATAAGCAAGTGCAGGAAGAGAGAGGAGACAGTAATGCAGCCAGGGCTTCAATCTGGGCAGGCTCACTCAAGACCAAACAGCCTCAGAGCTCAAACTCAAGTGCCAAAGCCTCAGGCTAGCTGGTCTGGGCAGAGCTCCCCCATTTGTTCCCCTGGCTGATGTGACTGGGCCCTTCAGGACTGGGTCCTTTGTGCTCTTCCACTCCGCTTGCCTGGAACAGGCTTCCCAGAAGGGTTGTACAATCTCCAGCCTTGGCTATTTTTAAGACCTGGGTAGACAAAGATGATCTAGTTGGGCCTGGTCCTGCTTTAAGCAGGGGGTTGGACTAGATGTGACTTTCTGAGGTCCCTTCCAATCCTTATGGTCTATGGTTCTATGAGCAGACTGCAGCAGTCCCTTTCCTTGGCCTCTCTGGCACTTCCTGAGCACAGGCCCTAGGCCCCTTTGAAATAGGACCATATGTCCCAGCTCCCCAAGAACTCTTCAGGACCTAGAACCGCTGCTGAGCCTCTAGGTGCCCAGTACCCAACCCCATGGGCCTCATGGGCACTCAGGGTTTACTTTCCCAGGGTCTCTTTGGGAACAAATGCTGGTTGAAGCAAACAGGTGTCCGTTCATAGCAAAGACGTTGCAGTTCAGGCTCTTTTTATTTCAAATAGCACAAAACCAACACATGCTTCCATGCAAGTGCTGCCTGAGTTTCCTCAGCACTCCAGAGCATTCTTTGTTAGTCCTCTAATATGCACTCCAGAGCATTAGTTAGTCCTCTAATATGTCCAGCCCCAAATCCCCCTTCTTCCTCCAAAAAGACAGAAACACCTTCCACCTTCTTTGGCTCATCCCACAATTGAACTAGAGCCCACTTCGAGATTAGTGTCCTCCTGTTCCTCATTCCCGCCCGCCCAACCCTCTGTTCTTGCCTTGAGCCTTCCTAAGTTCCTTTCCCTGCACCCGGATCTCTGTTACTGTGTGTTCAAGTCCTAGCATTAACACTTGATCTCTTTGTTCTGTTTGGGGATTTTCCACTCTCCACTCCCCAGGGCAGCAGAGGAACTTGGCTGGGTTGCTATCTGTAAATCGACAGATATCAGTTGTCCTGAGGTGCTCCCACTTGAATGGAAGCCATTGAGGTTTAATGACCTTCCATTATCTTTCATCTGGGACATCTGTGACACAGTGTTGACAGCTCATGGTCGATTCCATATATACACTCAGCCGCTCAATAACAGCATTTTTATTCCCTCCACCAGAGTCCATGAGTTGTGCATACACAGATTCTCCAAATCGTCACACCCACCCTGACACACTAAGGTTAGGTCAGTGTAGATGTTTGCCAGCATCACTGGATCAATCAGGTGGGAAGAGGTGGATCCCTTACTGACTTACTGGTGCTAGCAGTCGGGATAATTGCAGCTTTATCAAACAAGGCTGGTTTTGTTTATGAAAGGGGTGGTTCTGTGTCCACACTACAATTGCTGTGCTGGTATCATATACTGGGAAACACTACTAGTATAGACGGACCATAAGGCTGCCAAGGGTATGGGAGACTCATCTCCCTTAGGCTCTATCCCAAGAAAGATGATGCTGGTCTTACACATGCCCACACTGCCACGTGACAGAAAACTGAGCTTTGCTATGCCTTCCCTGCAGCTGTAAAGGTTTACCTTGGTGCCGCATAATCTCTCAGGGGATCCAGGTTCAGGCCCTTACACCACTTCACTGGGATGCAGGGAAGTGGCTGGAAAGGAAAGGAAGAGTTGCTGAAATGCCAGAGGTGTGATGCAGATGGGCTTGGGAGGGAGGCTGCATCTTGCTCAAGAGAGCAGCACGTGGGCATTACCTATAAAATGGGCACGTACCGCACTTGGGCATGTACTGAAGTTCATGGAGAGTGTGGCATTTGAGGTGTGGGAGGAGGGAGAAAGATATTGATGAGCATGGCCTACATACCCAGATAGATTAGATGAGGTTTAATTAGTTAAGATTAGGTTCGATTAGATTAGATTACAGCAGATTAGATAGCTAGCTCTTCTCTTTCAGTGCTTCTCCCACATAAACCTTCCCGATGGAAGTGTCTGGCCTGAACCCATCCAAGGCTCCCCTGCCCTCTGCGCACATCGCTACCGAGACCCGGTGAAACAGCCCCGGGGCGTGAAAGGTCACTGCCCTGGACTGCCACCGGCCGGCCACGCGGGGGGGGCTGAGAGGAATTGGGGGGGGAGTTTTAAGTGGAACAATTATAACAATGATGTTAATGTGACTATCATCATTAACAATACTAGCAATATTACTACTATTATTGTTAATAATAATAATAATAATAATGGGCTGGACGTGATGATCTTCTGAGGTCCCTTCCAGCCTTACAATCTATGAATAATAACAAATAGCAATAAAAATGATGAGAGTAATATTAAAACTACTAATAATAGTATTCATAATATTAATGGTAATCATGGTGATAAAGATGGTCACGATAACAAGGTTAATATTATCATCACCCTAGCTAATAAATAATAAATAATATCATCACCCTTGCTAATAATAATAATAGTACTAATACCGTTAATAATGATCATAATAATAATAATAATATCATCATCACCCTTGCTAATAATAATAATGATAATACCGTTAATAGTGATCATAGTAATGTTAATATTATCATCACCCTGGCTAATAATAATGATAATAATACCATTAATAATGATAATAATACCAATACCATTCATGATAATAATGTTAATACTATCACCCCCTTGCTAGTAATCATCATCATCATAATACTAGTACTAATACCATTAGTAGTGATCATAGTAATGTTAATGCGGATAATAATGGTAACAATAACAAAGCTAATTCTAATACTAATAGTAATGATGATGATGATGATGACGAGGATGAGGGTGTTAATATTTTTGTCATGAATAATAATATGAATACTATATGAATGGTCATGTCAACAGCGGCGCATTGCTGGCAACGGTCACAACAGCTGACACCGGTGGGCAGTAAGTAATGAGGAGGAGGGCGATGCCGATGTTTATATGAATAATAATAATAATAATAGTCCTAGTAACACCCCTAGCAACAACCCCAGCACACCGATGACGTCACGTCATCCCCGCTGCCGTGCTCACCCGGGCGGGGACACGCTCCCCGTCAGGCGGCGCGCCCCCCGCCCCGTCCCAGCGCCCCGGTGCCTCAGTTCCCGGGGGGCGGGGCCGAGTGGTGGCCCCGCCCCGCCCGCGTGA